GGCCTAGACCCTTCATCAGATGAAGGGTCTAGGCCCGAAACGTCAGCCTCTCTGCTCCTATGATGCTGCTTGGCCTGCTGTGTTCATCCAGCCCTGCACCTTGTTGTCTCGGATTCTCCAGCATCTGCAGTTCCTACTATCTCTGACAGAAAATGTAATTGTTATTAGTCACTACTTTTAAGATCTGGTGCAAACTTGTAAGCTAATTGAGTGGAATGGGAGATAGCAATGTTATTTAATTTATCTTGCTGTCTAGTGAAAATAATGGGTTGAAACATCCGCTCTTGCTGGGTGCTACTGTCCTAAATGTGTCCTTATGTTTCTAGACGTTCAACATAGCTTCTACACAGCGCTGGTCTGTAGCACAGAATTGGTCCCTCACTACCTTGCCCTGCAACTCAGAGTCAGTGTGATTCCAGCAATTCCACAGCAAAGACCAAGAACGCATGTCTATTCATGAGGATTGCCATGGGAGGCAAGAATTAAGATGGAGTTCAGATCTCATGCGGTCCCAAAAACTGTTGAAAATTTCTATACACCGTGTGTTGGCAAGAAGGGGTTTGGTTACAAGAACTCAATATTTCACTGAAATAATTCCCAAACTCATGTTCCAGGACGATGACTTTACAAAATACAATAACACTGGGAAGTCCTTAGCTGGAGAGAAGTTTGCCGATGAGAATTTCCAGTTGAAGCACACAGAACCTGGTATCCTGACTGTGGTCGGTGCAGGGCCAAAGACAAATGGATCCCAGTTCTTTATATTACTCCTAAAACTGCATACTTGGACAGAAAGCATGTTGTATTTGGTGAAGTCATAAAGCGCTACAAAATCATGGAGAAGATGGAGGGATTTGACAGCGAAACTGGCAAAACTATCAATTCTGTTGGCATCATTAATGGTGGACAATGCAAACAGAATTGTACAATTTAAATAAAACTTGGAAATACAAATTATGCAGTCCCTCTCATGACAATATGAGAAATTAAAATATCAAATTGTTAGTCCTCTGAGGTCAGAGCAAGTGGGTACTGCTGAGGTACAGTGATTAGTTTGAGCTTTAGATACAAAAAAATGTAACATGTTTCATTGTTTGGTTAAATCCAGATACCTTTTAATTTGTTGAGCACAGTATTCACCCAGTAATAATGTGTTTTTGTTGAACTATATTAAATTCTAAGAGCTGTAATTAAAACCTGAGTGAAATAGACCTTTTGTGCATTTGCTATTGTTAATGATGGATAGAAATAGATTTCTGTTGACATCTTGAGTGTATTTTTCTCTGTTTATTATGCTTGGGTAAAGGTAAGAGAAATAACTTTTCTATCTAAAAGTGCAAAGAATTGCAAATGCTGAAAATCTGAAATAAGGGAAAAGTACAGAGAGTGCTGTGAAATCCCAGCAGCTCAGTAAGCAGATATGGAGAGCAAAACAACGCAATATTTCAGGCAATGACTCTTCATCAGAACTCATGACGTTGCTAGAAATGCTCAGCATGTCTGGGACATTTTCAGTTATAATTACAGCAATTTTTAAAACTATACATACAGAAAAATATACAGGTGTTATGTTGCCCCTTTACAGTTATTTCATGAGAATGTTGTTTTATATTTAGAGTCTTACCTTCTGGCATTGCTCCACACATTGCTTCCACCCTGACAAGTCTTGCCTCCTTCCACTGTTGCCCTGAACTTGCCTCCTACCTTCTGTACTTCATTTTTCAGCTGGTCAGACTTACTTCAGATTTTTTTAAAACCTGGTCAGATGTGTTACGACACAGCTCTGAATCAGGTAGGAATTGAGCCCAGGCCTTCTGAATCAAAGGTACCGTAAGAACCTCTCGCCACCTTCTGTTTTTACTTTAGACCCTGGGATCGACTTTAACTGCTCCTTCTCCTGCGTTCCTGGGTTTTACTGAAAGGCTTTCTCAAGTGGCAGAAATTGGCTGGTGTAGTTACTGCTGGAACCCAGCTTATGCACTGACTAACATTTGTCACTAGATGGATGTGTTCAGTCGAAAAATATAGGTTAATGCATTTTTTAAAAATAGTGGCACACAACATATTCTGTATTGTCTTTCTTTTATATTTAGTGATGCAATTTCATTTTGCATGATATCTCAGTTTCAGTCAGAGAGTTCTCTGATGTTGAGTACTCTGATCAACCTTATAGCTTTACTCTGGAACTTGAAGCGATCTGGACAAAAGTGTCCCATCTTATGACAATGAGAATATTTTGGCATCATTTCCACACTTGACATCTTCTTTTCTGGCCTAACAAAGAGATCCTGGGGCATTCTCAGGTATCCCTCCTCATCTCTGACCAATTGTCTTCCTTTAACCTTCCCACCTTCTGTACTTATGGGGGTGATAGAAAAGGGATTTCAGTTTGTGGATCACTGTCAGTCATCTCAGCTACCTGTCTTGCTAATGCAACCTTCTAGTTTTCTGCATGAGTTCATGTTAAAGGAGGGAGTGAATGTTTAAAGTCTTCCACGAGAGCTACTTCCCTTTGGGTCTCACAAGTAGCCTCTACCTTTAATGCCTGCAACCAGTGGTCAAGATTATTTTGTTTTAACCTCTCAAATTCTATATAATTCTGCCCAGGCTGTTTCTGCATATTCTGAAATTTCTGCCTGTAATCCAAATTCATACAAATATAGCACAGCCATTTTCATTTTTAACCAGCTCGTTAACTATAAAAGACTCTTCAGAAAGCAAGGCAGAAACCTGCCAGACAACCTGCCTTGTGTGAGCATTGTATAGTTTTCTTTTGGCCACCTCACCTGCTTAGCTATCTTTTTAACATGAATGAAATGTGCCTTAGTGTCCCTTGCATCAAAATTTGGGAGAACTTGCACAAATTTAAACAACTCCCACTAGTCTTAGATTGCACTTAAATGTTTCCACATTGGAACGTTCCTTGAGTCAGAAGTCTTTTTTTTAACCGTTTTAAGGTGTTATTTTCTCTCTGTCTTTCTTTCTCTCTTTCTTGTCTCTGTCTCACTCTCTCTCTCTCTCTCTCTATGCCTGCACTCAGTCTTCTTTTCTCCTGGGAGAGCAGTCACAACTTCTTCAACCTATCCTCATAATTGAAGTTCCTTAGCCCTGAAACCATTCTTGTAAATCACTTCCGCCCGCTCCCAATTGCATTCACATCTTTCATATTGCTGTAATACCGTACCCACAACTGTACACAATACTCCAGCTGAGGTGTAACAAGTGGCTTCTTCAAGTTCAACATCACCTCATAGAATCATACCATCACTACAGTGCTGAAAAAGGCTATTTGGCCCATTGAGTCTGCAGCAACCCTGTAGCATCTCAACTAGATCCATGTCCCCCACCCTATCCTCGTAACCCTTCATTTATCATGGCTAATGCACCTACCACAGGGCAATTTAGCCCAGCTAATCCACCTACCCTGCACCTCTTTGGTCTTATACACTATGTCTCTATTAATAATGCCAAGAAACTATATGTTTTATTAACTACTCTCTCCACTTGTCCTACCACCTTGAATGATCTGTGCACATATAAACACAGGTCCCTCTGCTCCTACCCCTCCTTTAGAACTTTACCCCCTATTTAATATTGACTATCAATGTTCTTCCAACCAAAGTGTATCACCTCACACTTCTCAGCATTGAACCTCATCTGCAACCTATCAGCCCACTTTATCAACTTTTCAAAATCCTTTTGATGTGTCATGTTGTCCTCCTCACAGTTTACAATTCTTCAAAGTTTAATGTCATCTGCAAACTTAGAATTGTCTCCTGCTTATCAAGATCTGGAACATTAGTATATATCAGAAAAGCAAGGATCCTAATGCCAACCCATTGAGAATTCCACTACAAACCTTCTTCAAGCCCAAACAGTATCCAATGACCACTACCATATCACCCACCCAATTTTCTAACCACATTGCTACTGTCCCCATTATATTTTGACCTATTACTTTCCACACAAGTCTGTTATATGGCACAACATGTTCAAAACCCACGTTTAGTCCAACAAAGTCCATTCTAAAATAAAGTATAGTATTTTAAAACAATTTATGTTCCCTTTCAGGATGTGTGAACCTGAAAATTGAAATTTCAAAGCTGAGTACATGTGAACACTTTTGATAGGAAAGCTGGATAGATTTGAATTTTCTCCATGAAACCCTGAGATAATCTTCAGAATAGGTTCCAGAAGTGCAGTGAAAGTGAGAAAAAAAGACATGCCAATTAAATACTATTATTACATAGTCACTGTTGTAAATGTTGGGAAGACGTAAGTTGCTATCCCTAATCTCTGCCACAAACTTGGTTCTCTCACCATTAACTCCATGCTCTCTTTGAAAGCTGTCTGAAGCTGACCCAGTTTGTTCAAAACCTCGGCGCTATTTTTGATATCTACATAAGCTTCTGACCGTGTGCCCAAGTTATCACTAAAACTATCTATTTCCACTTCTGTAACACTGCCCAACTCCTCACCTGTCTGAGATCACCTGATGCTGAAACCTTCACCTGAGCCTTTGTTACTTCTAGCTTTGAATGTTCAAACACATGACTGGCCACCCACCATCATTCTCAGTTGAGGTCTGCTGAAACTCTGGCTAGTCATGTCAGGTTTCACACTGAGCTCTATTCAACCATAAATCACTGATCAACATTGGTTTCTGGTTAGGCAACATCTCAATTTAAAAACTCTCATTTTTGTTTTCAAGATGCACTGTGGGATTTCCCCTCCCTCTCTCTATAACCTCTGATTGGGTGTCAAATTTTGTTTTGGTGACACTCCTGAGAAAACTGTATGAATGGTGCTACATGAATACAAGTTGTTGTTAATATCAAAATATTCAGCCATTTTGAACGTAACAAGGTCTTTCAATCAGGAAATATAATCATGATTTAATCAACTGCTTTTAGTTATGTTCATTTAAGAATGAATAGCGTCTTCAGGAATTAGAGATTATGCCATTGAGAAATGAACTGTAAGGTTTGTTTTCATATTAAAACGTTTCTTTTATATATTTTAGCAACATAAAGAAAGACAGGCTTTTTTAAACTGCTGTTAATGTTGATGTGTTAACAATCGGATGTTCAGATATTTCTTTTAAACGACTGTTGATTTTATTTCATTCCCAATATTGGGAAAAAAAAGATTGATTTTTAAATGTATATTATCTAAGTGGTTACTAAAGTGGCATGTAATGGATAACAAAATGTTAATGAGATCCCTCACAAGCATATTTGTTTTGGGAGGATATAGGATGTCATAAAGCTCTTTTCAGTCATCGGCTCCAGGTCATTTACACTAATCTCCCATTTCAGATTAAGTTGCCATGCAACTTTGAAGGTGATACCTATCATTTCGTTGTGGGATGAAGATGAACATTAAAATAGAATGTACTGCAATAATTCAAAAGATCCCACCTGTCCAAATAATTGAGACAATTCATTTATTTATTCAGCATTATTTTTGCTACCTTTAGTTTCCCACACATCTTATGTTAACCATCCTTCCCTTTCACTTTTTGAAAGCGCTAATTAGATCATTAATATTGTATAATACTTCTGTTCATCATTTGGAATGGATTGATCAAAACTTCCTTTCAAATCCCACATGCTTCCTTCCAGTCACTCATCTGCCTTCCTTAATGCATTTTTATATGTATGCACATATTAAGAGATCTGTTAAACCAAGCAGCCAGCATGGAGCCAGCAGGTTCATCCTGAACTCTCAAAATAAGACTTGGGCCAACTTACCAAATTCCAGATCTGCAGCCACACCAAACTCAGTAGGAATGATTAGGAGCAGAATGGATGCATGAGGAAGTCAATGCCGGGGTTTAGCTGTAATGTTCCTCAGCCTCCAGGTAAATGCATCAACAGGAGCTCCAGGAACGATCGACATTCTGGAACAGGAAAGACTCCAGATTTCCTGTGACTTGGTAGGATAGACCAACCTAAAGGAGAAAAGTATTTTCTTCTCCAAACTCAGAATTTCCAGAAGTAGTTTTGAAGTGTAATCATTGTCTGACTCAAGGGAAATGCAGGAGCCCATTTTTCATGAACACCCCAAAAGGCAACAAAATAGGTGACCGATTACTTACGACACTGGTTGAGCAATAAATATTGACCAAGACATCAGGAAAATTCATTCATTCTTGTTTGAATTGCACAGCAAAGATTTTTTTTAATGTCCACCAGTGAAGCAAATTGATCCTCTGTTAGTGCTGCTCCACCTAAATACCAGCATGGAATGTCAAGATAATTTGATCAAA